ACTTTGTAAAGAGGAAAAAAAACAACAAAAAACACAAAAATGACTCTCTGAAGAAGAGCGACAGGTCTGGAAGGAAAGGAAGGGAGCGTAGACAATGCTGAAAGGGGGAGAGCAGTAGGTGTTGTGGCGCTAGAGGGGGCATAAGTTATGTCGGTCTGTTGGAAGGTGTCAAACAGGTGGTGGTTGCGGCCTGGATGGCATAGGAGTGATTGTGGACTATTGGGAGGAGGCTGACAGCAGGTAGCTGCGGCATAGGAGGGAGCATGAGGGGTGGCAGTGGACTGGACAACAACAGGAAGGGGGTAGATGGGTTGACAGCAGCAAGGACAGGCCTTGAAGGTGTTGGCGGCAGCAAAGACTGGCTTTGGAGCGACTGGCGGTAGGATGATAGGCTCTGGTGGGATCGGAAGGAAAAAAGACAGGCCCTGGAGGCGCCTGCGACAGCAGGAAGGGATGAAGTGCATAGAAATAATCACCATTTCAGATGTGTTACGACCAAATCATGTCTTCGTTGTTGGATATAGCCCTTGGAAGGGGGAAATGTCGGGCAGAAATCTAAAATCAGAAATAATTATTAACCTACTCTAACCAAACAAAGTAGTTTATATATAATAGGTCGAAGTAGATAAAAACATAAAGTAATAGAAAAGGGAAAGGGGTGGATTAGAAAGGGAATAAAAAAGGCAAGGGATGAAATAGAAAGGGGAAAGAGGGGTGGATTAGAAAGGGAATAAAAAAGGCAAGGGGTGGATTAGAAAGGGAATAAAAAGGCAGAAAATAGAATAGGAAAGGAATCCTCCATATTGAAGGGATAAAATAAGAAAGAAAGAGGCAGAGGAGGGGCAGTGATTCTTGCCCCACGGCTAGCCGATTGAGTCGGCCATCAAACCAGGACTACCCGGTTCGACCGACCCATGAAGTTTCATATCAAGATGTTTCCATAAGGAAAGTCAATGACTTTCACTTACTATTATTTTTTTTAATCACGTAAAAATAAATTTATAGGTGGGGTTGGATGAGGTTTCTATGCAAGGTGCTTAGGCCATTGCGCCTAGAGCAGAGGTTTAGGTGTTGGCATGCCTAGGGCATTGAATGCGAACTTGTGGCTTAGTGATTGCGTGGAGACAATTAGATAGTGTCGATTTTGTGGAGACAGTTGTGTGTTCAGTTGGGCCATCACATTCGGGCTTATGACTTTTGCTTGTGGCCTAAGCAACCGGAGCAACTCGTGGCTTAGTAATAGCATCACCATCTCAAACGAGTTACAACCGTAGCGACTGCTTTTCGTCGGATACAACCCTCAGAAGGGGGAAACGCTAGAAGCAGAAATCTAAAATCAGAAATAATCATTACCAACTCTAAGCAAACAAAGTAACATATATATAATAGGTGGAAGTGGATAAAAATAGAAAGTAATAGAAAAGGGAAAGGGGTGGATTAGAAAGGGAATAGAAAAGACAAGGGTTCGAATAGAAAGGGTAAGAAAAATGCAAAAAATAGAATAGGAAAGGAATCCTCCATATCAAAGAAATAAAATAGGAAAGAAAAAGGATGGTGGGGTGGTAATTCTCGTCCCATGGCTAGCCGGTTCAGCCGACCATCAAACCAGGACTAGTCAGTTCGGCTGATCCATGAAGCCCCGCATCAGAGCCTTTCCATAAAGAAAGTTATTTATTTATTTATTTATTTTTAAGTCAATGCCTTTCACCTATTATTATTCTTTTTTAATCTTGTAAATATTAAATTTACTGGTGTGGTTGAATGAGTTTTCTATGCAAGGCACTTAGGCCATTATGCCTGAAGTAGAGGTTTAGGTGTTGGCGTGCCTAGGGCATTGAATGCGAACTCGTAGCTTAGGGATTGCACATAGACAATCAGATGGTGTCGATTATGTGGAGACAGTTGTGTGCTCAGTTGAGCCATCACATGCGAACTTATGACGTTTGCATGTGATGCCCTTGTGGGATGGAACGAGCGGAGATTATCATCATCTCAAACGAGTTACAATCGAAGCATTTACTTGTCGTTGGATACAACCATCAGAAGGGGGAAATGTTGGAGGCAAAAATCTAAAATAAGAAATAATCTTTAATCTACTTTAAGAAAACAAAGCAACCTATATATAATAGGTGGAAATGGATAAAAATAGAAAGTAATAGAAAAGGGAAATGAGTGGATTAGAAAGGGAATAGAAAAGGCGAGGGTTGGAATAGAAAGGAGAAAATAAAAGGCAGAAAATAGAATAGGAAAGGAATCCTCCATTTTGAAGGAATAAAATAAGAAAGAAAAGGGAGGGGAGGGGCGGTAATTCGAACCCCATGGCTGGGCGCCATGGCTGGGCGGTTCAGCCGGCCCATGAAGCCCTGCATCAGGGCCTTTTCTTAAGGAAAGTTTTTTTTAAGTCAATAACTTCGCTTATTATTATTATTATCTTGTAAAAAATAAATTTATGGGTGGGGTGGATGAGGTTTCTATGTAAGGTGCTTAGGTCATTACGCGAAGACAATCAGATGGTGTCGATTATGTGGAGCAGTTTTGTATTCAGTTGGTGCTTCACATGCGAACTTATGACTTTTGCATTTTGAATCTCCCGTCTTAGATCTTCTCATGCTATATAGGTTTCGGAAGGTTGGCCGAGTGCTTGTTGGCGAAGTCTCATTACAACTTGCATGCATGTTCATTTTGCGACCTTCGTCCATCCCTTCTTCGTTATGTTTGGTTTTCCCCTTGAGTTTGTGGGTATTTTGATTGTCTTTGACATCGACACCGCCTCATGGCATTGGCATTGATGGCGGCTGTCTTTGACACCAATGTTTTATTTTTTATAGTCGTTGTCGCGTCATGGCATTGACATTGATCGCAGTTGTCTTTGACACCGAAGTTTTACTTTTTATAGTCATTGTCGTGTCATTGTGTTGCTATTTGTGATAGTTATGCCACTTCATGACATCGTCACCTCCTTTGCTCATCACCTTTGATACTTTTAAGGTTGATCTTTCTTTTATCTCTTTGGTGGTTGAACATCTACCGCCTCAACCCTCACATTCTTTTACGAATGTTGTTCACGTTTTGAATGTTGCGAAGGTATTTTCTTTTCCACTTAATAATTCTCGACGTTTTAATTATTAGTGCTCCGCAACTTTTCAACATTAATGAACTTCATCTTCTTTAAGTATGCTTTCTTCTTTTATGTTGAGGAGATTTATGTACTTGCTAAGTTCTTAGTCTTTTCTTTATTATAAAATTTTATTTGGGTTGTCCTGGCTAGAGAAAATTCACCAATTCCTATGTGATTTATAAGGATAGACAATGACTTTGATGAACTTATTGACCATCAACATTTTATTATTATGTCCTTTAGAAACAATTTATATCAAACTTTCCTCGCATCATTCATGATATATTATTTGCCTTATGATTCACTTGTTAAAATGGTCCCTTTAATTTGTTTGCTCTATGGAGCCTTTTAAAACTCTAATTTGTATCTCTTTTCTGCGACTTTATCTGAACTACTTCAATCAATTTATCTTATTTTTCTTGGCTCCTACTTATGGAAAACCTTTACAATTGGATGCTACATGAGCTCATTTTGCTAAGCTTTTTATGGGTAGTTGTAGTGGAGCTAAGCGCTACATCTTTTTTCCATAAAGAAGTGTGAATTGGCTCTCTGATTCTGGATATTAGCTAAAGGCAGAATTTAAAAACATTCCATCATAATGCTTTTCTTGCCATGTTTTTTCACATATTCTCTGATAATTTCAAGGCTCGTCTTGAACTGAGGAATCCTCAATTTTGGCCGCAAGACTTTCCAACTGATATTCATAATGATAGCTTTGCTCCATCATTGAAAAACCTTGTTTTTTCATGTATGTACTCAAAATTTTGACACGGTTTTGATTCTCTTTAGAAGAAAATGGCTAATTCCCTTGTCTATGCTTGCCCCTTGCTGTTGATCGCTTCACTAACTATTAACTAGAATATTTCATAAGCTCTTGGAACACTTCATTCTCTTCACATGTATGAACAAAATAATGTTTATTTATTACAGTATGTTTTTATTTTTGTTAGAGTTTTAAGAGTGTCGATTCTAGTAGATAAAAGATTTCATAGTTTTTGTTTCAAATGGGGAAGAATTCAGAAGAAAAATTATCGCAGCTAACATTGTTTCACTAGACTCTAAACTAGACAATCAAAATAGAGTATTTTTCCTTGTGCTATTGTTTTTTTTTCATTTGTTCTACCATTTCTTACTACATGCGTTTAGTGCATTCATATCATTATCTAGTTTATGTATATTTTATTTAAAAATGTAAAGCTACATGTGGCTTACTTTTCTTTTTCTCTTGGGAATGTCATGTGGCTTACTTTGACCTTCAAATTGTTATGAGTTGGGAATCTTCTTAAAGGATTCATTTAAAATTTTGCTTTTTCAATTTCAAGAAGAGGGTTGAGGCTACAATGGTAGACATGACACTGTTAATATATTTATTACAATCAATGATGATTATATCCCATCATGAATCCTTGAAAAATAAACCGTCTTAGAAGTACAAGGTATCATGAATTTTCTGCTTATAAAATATAATCAACTGGAGCCACTTGATAAGAGTAATGATTAAAATAATCACTCAAGCTATTAGTTTTGGTAAATCAGTCAATTTTAAGATGGTAGTCACTGCTGCTCTTTTTTTCAGGATCTATGCTGAGATGTGGAAGTCAAACCCCTTTCTGTGTTTTCACCTAGCTACTTTCCACCATACACCTGCTTGTTTCTGCTGTTGATCCATTGGTTTATCTATGAAAATTTATAAAATGGGCTTTCCTTTTTTCCATAACTTTTGAAAGTTTAAAGCGCAAAATTTGTAAATTTTCATAAGTTGAATTCTTGTGTTTCGTTAATATTCTGGCACTATTTGCTAAGATTGTAGTGAGAATGACAATGTATGGCGTTGTATTGAGAATCACATTGCTAAAATACATCAAATAGAGTTTTTTTGCAGATATCCGTCACTTCGGGTAGCATATATTGATGAGGTTGAAGTACCTCTGGAGAATAGAAAGGTGGAAAAAATTTATTATTCTACCTTAGTGAAGGCTGGTTTGCCTAAAGATGATAACGCTGCAGACCCTGTGCAGAACCTTGATCAGGTAATTGGCTATTGTTTTTACCGCCCATGTCATTAGCTTTTGAACATGAAAAATGTTAGCTGGCTCTGTAAACAGAATCTTGATTAGGTCCCAATTACATATCTAGCACCTAAGCTTTTACTTTTTTAGATTTATGACAACCAAATATTTCATCACATAAAAAAATACCACCATTTTAACTTTTCAAAGATAAAATATAGCTTTTCATGCTAGGTAAGGTGACATGACATGAACTTGAGATTGGACCGGCCATGACCTGTGGGCCAATTGGACCGGCATTTACGTGCATACCACCCAATTCTTATGTATTTACATAGCTAGCACCTAAATTTTACATTTTACATTTTTTAACAAATTATTTCATATCACATAAAAAATATTACCACATAAAAAATATTACCATTTTTAACTTTTAAAAGGTGAAATACACCTTTTTTTTTGCCTAAGGTGGCATGACTCGGACATGAGATTGGATTGAATATGATCTACGACCAATTAGACCGGGTCCGGATGGGAGAGGCTTGACCAACCTCTTAGGGGATTGAGATTTGCCTCCCAGCAAGAGTGGGCCACTCCTTAGTTGCCTAATAGTATTTATATGCATTTAGTTTTTTTCCGTGTTTCTTTTGGGAAAGCCATCAGCCTATCCAATTCTCCCTCCTAGGACTGTATCAAAAGGAGAGAAGATACTCTGGCTATAACTCGTCTTGAAGTAGTGTATTGATCGCTCCCTACTTCTCTGGACCGCGCCATCTTTCCATCTGCTGGCGTATTGCAGATACCCTGCCTACTGCGTATCCATCGCTAGTCTACCATATCTGTCGTTCCCCTGTCGCTAGCTTACCTGCTTGCTGCATTCCTTCCTCCAATCTTCTTGGCTTGCTATTTTCCTCTCGCCAACCTTGCCGCCACCTTGTCTGCCCCCCCTCCCCCCCCACCTATCCCTTTCCTTGTTGCTTCCTCCCTACATGAAACTCCTTTTTTCTTATCGCAATTCCATCGCTAGCCACCTCGCAGACCTTGCTGCCACCTTCCTAAAACATTCGATTCAACATGAAGCTCCTTTTTTCTTATCGCAATTCCATCGCCAGCCACCTGGCAGACCTTGCTGCAGCCTTCCTAAAACATTCGATTCAACATGAAGCTCCTTTTTCTTATCGCATTTCCATCGCTAGCCACCTCGTTGACCTTGCTGCCGCCTTCCTAAAACATTCGATTCAACCTTTGTTTGGTGTTTGTGTGTGTGTCTTTATTATTTCCTCTTTCTGTTGGTTTTTTGTAACTGCATATTTGAATTTCAACAATAATATTATCGCTATATTGTTTATATTAACTCAGATATCATTTGATATCAGAGTTAACCTAATACCAGTCCTATCCAAGGGTTTTTAGCATTTACCCTGCCCAAACCTATCTTCACCCTCCTAAATTTTTCTTTCCCCACCCTACACACTTCTTTCCTCTTTCCACCTATCCACCCTTAAACACTAGTCATGCCGCTGAGAAGGCAATTTTCGAAACCTGGTCTGGAATTTACCACGGGCGACATACTACGAATACTCTGCGAATTGCTGCAACGCCACGAGTCAGTTGTGGAAAGGTCCGTGGTGCGGTCTCTGTTGATTGTAATAGCAAGAGTCGTG